GCGATTGTTCAGTTGCTTTCGCTGATAACGCCTATGAATACCTCAGTTCCGTAACAGCGAAATACTAACAGTAACTTTTACATAGTCCCTGAGAGAGGCCACTCGTCCGATTGGTGTATCTGACGCTCTGACGGGTCAGTTAACTCCGAACTCTTATTTGTTGCTTCTCCCAGTTGTTCGCAAGAGGGAACTACCACAAACCGTGCGCTGTTTTGACAGCCACCCTATGCTAGTGTTAACTGATCCCAGTTGTCAACGCTTAAGCTTAGGATGAGCTAATGAAGAGTCCATCCACAACGTTTTAAAAGACCCATGTGTACAACTGTAAGTCTACGTATCAAGATGTATGGATAAGTTTTCGTGGACCAGGTCTCTGGATAGAATCACTTACTAACCTCCACCTTGGCACAAAACTGTACGATTGTACTATTGCACCTGCTCGTACTTTGTTTTAACTTTTGTAACTTCCCCTTTCAGGTTAGTCCTGCTGACGGACAGGTCTTACGCTTCGGTACTTTTGATCCGACTCACGACGTCCTTGAACAGATCAAGGGCGTGAATTACTCCCTCAAAGAATTTCTCGGTACACCACCCTCGACTACCAGACAAAAGGATCGACAGTTGTACCAATGTGTAATATACCTCGGCCCCGGTGATTGCCACCGGTTTCTTAGTCCCACAGACTGGACTGTGTCTACAAGGCGTCACTTTCCAGGTAGGCCTAATTTGGGGCCTGGATGGGCCCACTTGTTTGTTATATGTGGGTATCACTAGCTGTCGCGCGCGTGTGCACTGCCTCATATTTCAAATGACATTCGTTTATTTCCTTTCAGATATCTTAAGTGACCCCAATTCCCGTAACGATTGCACTAGGGTCTAATGCTCGGGTTCATTCAGTACTTTCGACTAATCAGGCTTAAGGTGGGATGCTCTGCTTAAGAGCCTCTCTTTAGAATTGAGACGCACAACATACTGAAGTGAATCACTGAGTCTATTGTGACCGGTGAGTGCGCGCGTCTCCCAAATAGAAACCGTGTTGCACAGTGCCGTCGCGTCTAAAATGGTCAGGTTTCAAACGCATGCTATCTTTTTATTAAAAATGCTGTGAGATCCCTACGTTGCCTTGCTTTCTCACCCTGCAGTTTAGCCTAGTTGTTCAGGTAAACTCATTTTTACATCCTTTGCTTGTAAGTAATATAAGTTAGTTTTCTTCCGCTCATTGAGAGAGAGGTTTTCTCACAAGGCTGGCGAAAATTGCTTACGGATAGACGCTTGTGAACAACACCTCAGTTGTACTTTACGGGATTGCACTTCAGTGCTCTTTGGCTTGGAACGGCGATTGACGTTATTTTGCGTACTGGGGCTGCAATGCTAGGTCCAAAGTAAACCTGTTGGACAACAGCTACTATCACCACTGTTATTTAATATCGACTTCTGCTTGCTAGGTGACGTACTCCCCGCAACCCAGTCATATGACAGTGTGTTTTTCCATGTTTTTCACGACTGAAACTCTCAGGTAGATGAGTGTACGAAAAATACATCCTGTTTTCGAATTTTAGTTCCGAGAGGTTTTAACCTGGAGGACAACAGAAGAACTTGAGAATTTCTGCTTAAAAACTAATGATCTTGAATCCCTATTTCAGTTGTTTACTTGCTGACCTGAAACGGTAATTTTTTCTAGGGGAGATCACCTGCACCCAGCTGCAACACAACTATACGACAGGGGGGAACAAAGTCTTCGCCTCTCCTTCACCATGACAGTAGTCAACAGTAGTCCAGCGTAACTATGTTGTCGGTCACTCTTATAAAGAATTGTCATATCAAGCCGAATGTGTGCAAAGGTGCTCAAATCAGTATGAATGGTGTCCATTGTCTAGTCCAAAAGCTCGCTCTGTGTCAAACGTGCAGCACTCGCACCCTCTTGAATCGCATGATGGAACACCACGAATTAGCATACTACCTGAGTTTTAACACAACGACAGAATGCCATACCCTCAGAACAATGAACAAGACGGTTATTGAGACACTGTTTCAAACATATCTTAGCTTGGCCGATAAACTCGCACTTATCCGTCCACAGGTACCTCAGGCTAAATTAAGGAAGAGTAAATAACAGTTAATCTGCCTTGCCCTCTCCAAAACAAGCAGTTTCACGTCCCACCGGAACTATTCGGAGGAAGCCCATCGGTACTCTGTTGCTGAAGCATACAGTTACTA